ATTAGAAAAGGAGTATATACTCAAGTAAATATAAGTTATACCTTSAAAGGAGTTATGAAGGTCTTCTTAACACTCAGGAGGAAATGTCGGAGACCCAATAAAGTGTATATTTAAATGATCAGTGTGACGATCTGCGACGTTTTAGACAYCTCTGTCTGTATATACCCAAGCTAGTCACTAAATTTTTAGATATCGATCTGAAATCGTGCACACGTCCTTCTCTCGCCRAGGAGATGTTCATTTGTTGGAATCGCTGATATCGAGCCACTATAGCATACCGCTGTTATRCAAACTSAACGATTGGAATCAAATATTTATATAGAAAACGTCTTCATTTTATGAAATATCTTCAAAAAATTTKGCTCGGATTATTGTGTAATATTCGAARAAATTGTTCAAACCGAATTTCTTAAGCATATAGCTGCCGCAATGACGGATCAAAACGAAGTCGTTATYGAAATTGGGCGTATGTAATTGCTGAAGTTATGATACAACTTCTAAAAGGATTGTTCAGATATGGACGCTATAGCCGCACAAAGTGGCTGTTAAAAGTCATGTTCCTAAATGTAAGTTGTTTTCTTGTGAAGGGTATAACAACTTCCATGCATTTAACGTTGTTTTAATTTCCTTACAATTTTCTGATACTAAGAACTTTGAGTGACTTGCATTTATTGTTTGCGATAAAGATCTTTGATTCATAAGATAATACGATATTTCAGCATGTGCTGCTTATCTTATTCAACCACCTACGCTACTGGTAAGGGCATAGTGAAGTTGATAARGTGCTACTCTTTATAATATACACTCGAGTGGCTATACATATATGTATAGCACAAAACAATAGCATTCCAACCAAGCAAAATAAAATTATTTGTTAAAAAACTTCTTAGTATTTTGCAGAGCACCCACTTCTTTAAACAAACAAGCGTTGAAGATAATTTTATTACCTACTTTATTCCGCGCAACTTCRATAACTTTTCCCATTTCGTTTAGACTTTGGCATACTTTTCTCTTACCCTTTTGGCCATATAATGACAGCAATGCTCAATTGGATTGATATCTGTACTTTTTTCTGGCCACGTGTGAGACTGAATTTCTTCGTCCTCAATATTTTTAGTTTGTAATGAATTATGGAAAGACCTACTTCAATATTTTTATGCTTTAGTCACCGTTTTGGCAGTGGCATCATCCTGACAAAAAAATAAAAAATAAATAATAATAATATTTGAGTGTATTCGAACAGCAATTCAATAGTTGACAAAACGCCTTCTTTCAAAATTCCACTGTAYTCTTCGGCATTCTCAGATGCTTTAAAAATAATAAGCTGTCCAACCCAAAACTTGTTTTTAGTCCTCATATCGCCCCCATATAATACTAGACGGTGGGTAAAACATGRGTTTCTAAAAGTTTTTCTAATTTCCTGCGACGCTCTGGGCCATTTTCGTCGGGTCCAAACAAATTAAATTTGAATTAGTCGGAAAAAATTCGGGTAATGGGACGTCGTTTTAGCTAGACGTCGAATTCATTAATCAAKTTTACTCAGTACATTTTGCATAAAAGGTGTAGATATTTTTACCACAGTAGTTTCGTAGAATATTGAATTGTTTGTGCCAGCAAATTGAAAGCGATCTATAATCCACATCCGTTTAATTTGTCGTTCATGATGAGATTTTACTTTTTCGGACGCCCACTTTTTATTCAGGTTTGCGGAGTTATTTGTGTTGATTTTCTTCACAATGCCACTTTTAGTGGAAAACATGAAGTTTCAATAATGGAAATAATAGTTCTTTGAAGACTCCCACCTTTAGACGTTTTTCAAGCAAACAATTCGTAATGTCGGATCGAATTAGAAAATTACAAAACGTATGAAGGAGAAGTCTAAAACCATACGTGCAAGACACATACATTATGACGCAAAATTCTAATTCTAAATCTGAGTAAAGTATTCCGGCCTTTCTAAGAACGAAGCTTTTAAAGACGATACAATCCGTAATGCGCGGCAAAAAAATTGCAAGCTATGTAACTCTCACAGATGCCCTTGCTTTACGACAGTTGCAAGTGATGCATCAGCCCACTTAAGTTTATAAGTTTATGGCACTTAAAAAAATCTATTATCTATATATTGATAAGCACATAAGAGTAGGGCATTAATAAGTGAAAAATAAGAAAATGTTAAAGGGCCTCATTTGCTATTATATTTCATTTGTATATTTACATAATTTCAATATAAATAGATGCATTAGCTGTTGCAGCGCTTCATTACAAACAGTGCTAGAAAATTTTAGTTGAAAACACGAAACYATGGAGCGTTGGGAAAATCGCGTAGCTGTAGTCACTGGCGCTAGTTCTGGCATGGGCGCGGCTATAGCCAAGTATCTCGCAAATAACAAGTTGGTGACAGTAAACCTCGATATAAATAAGGAAGGCCACATGACAGTAATTGCTGAAGTAAACGCCGTGGTGCGAAAACGTATGCACTTYATTAAATGTAATGTACGCAAGGAGGACGAAATAAATGCCGCATTCAGAGAGATCGAGAAAAACTATGGTCCTATAGCTGTGTTGGTCAACAATGCTGGTGTCGTGGGRGATAGTTTCCTACTGAGTGAGAATAATTCGAAGGAAATGCTAAAAGTGCTCGAAACGAATCTTCTAGCTGCGGTTTATTGCACTCGCGAAGCATTTCGTTCCATGAAAGCAAATGATATCGGCGGGCATGTTTTTATGATCGGTAGTGTCTGTGGACATAAAGTGCCAATAGTACCAAATAACCCACTAAATTTATACCCACCAACGAAGTTCGCGATTAAAGCGCTCACTGAAATGTATCGACAAGAGTTTTTTGGTCAGAACACTAAAATTAAAGTAACGGTAAGTGGTATATTGACATTACGAACAGTTGAGACAACAATTATCGCGTCTTTATTACAGTGTATCAGCCCTGGTGCAGTTAAGACGAATTTACTCAATCATCCTGGTAATATAACGCCTAAACTTCCAGCGGAACTCAACCCTAATGCGATTGCGGATCTATTAATTTATTGCCTACAAACTCCACCGGATGTACACATCCATGATGTGATAATCAAGCCCTTGGGTGAAATGGTTTAATAATTCAAATGAATTAAAAATTTGTGCCGATCTCTCGATATTGACAAAATAAAACAAGTAAAGCACGCTATAAGTATTGAACTTAAAAAAATAGTGGGTGCTCGCAGTTCAACTGTGGTTGAGGTTCGGAAACTATTTATTTCACTCACACTTATATTACAATATTTATGTTAAGTAAAAGATAATCGAAAAATCTTAAGATTCAATAGGTTTCRTTTAGGTTTCGTGTTGATCACTTTTACGGAGGTGACCGCGGTCATGTTTGGGTAATTGAAATTCTGGTTTTTGTTGATGCCAAAACCTCATAACTGTCATAAATATTGACAAAACACTTTAAGCCTTTTAGGTATAGATCAAGAAACTCACCTGTAGATAAAATATTTCGAGCCTATCAAAACACAGTTCAGTGGCTAATTGCGATTTCAAACAATTCGAATCGTTTACCTTCAGTAKCCTTTAGTTCGACGAAACCAATATCCGTACTAATACGTTTCTTGGGTTGATACTTGACGTTACTGTTCCTGTGTTGCAGTGGAACTTTGACAGATTTGCTTTTGCCGATATTACTTGATTTGATTTATTTGTCCACGTTAAGCCTAAAGTGTAGTCTAGTATCCAATAATACCCTTATTTTATTTGAAGTCTGTAAAGGAAAGCTTCTATCCAGTTGTTTGTCAGCGTATGCGCTGTTGCCGCAGCCATCCCATCAAGCACAATGAGGCTTTCTTAGGGTAAAGGGTGACTAGGTAGCCAAGTAAACACACTCAATTTGAGTGCCCTCATATGACTTCTGAATTTAATTTTCCTTTCACTTATATGTCGTCATAAAGTACTCGAATCTATAGTGTATTTTTTAAGTATTTACACCCATAATTATATTTAATGAACTCTTGTAATGTTGTGTCTATAAGCATATCACTAACTAATTAAAAATGGGAAAAAATAAAGGGCCTTATTTATTATAGCTAATATATAATTATTAATTTTAATAAGAGCACTTGTTGGCCTCGGTCACTTTTATTATTCTAATATGCTAGTCTCAACGCAATAGTGGTGAAAGATATACCAAAATAGATTTTTTCAGTTGCTTTACGATGATAGAACAATGTAAAGTTGCCACAATTTTGAAAATATTACTTAAAAAAATTATAAGAAAGTAAGCAAGAAAATTATTTAAAGAAAAACACCCAAAACTGAAAAGTTCATATAAACAAAATATTTTTGAGAAGGAATGTTGCCACCTGTTTAATTTTTTTTTTCAAAAATTTTAAATATATCAAATTGATCAGAATTGGATTGCTTACAACTAAATATAATTGTAATAAGGGTTGCCACCTGATTACATATTTTATTTCACTAAATTTAATAAAATAGATACATTTTAAAAAACTGGTATCAAACTCGCGTTTTCAAAAGCTTTTCGTTGWTTTTGAAGCAGGCTGAGAGACGATAATATTTTTGAGAAGTGTTCCCATATCAAGCGCATAAAAAATAAAAGCCATAAATCTATTTTTATTCTCCCAAATTGTGCAAATATACAAAATATTATAAGAGAGGCATCAAACATATGAAGCGGAAGAAAATATTTTTTGGTTAAAAGTTACAGATAATGTTCTTCTTCTTTCTTACTGGAGCAAAAAGCGTTAACGCGGTTATAGCCGAGTTTACAACAGCGCGCCAGTTGGTTTTTTTTTAATTCATTTGAATTATTAAACCATTTCACCCAAGGGCTTGATTATCACATCATGGATTTGTACATCCGGTGGAGTTTGTAGGCAATAAATTAATAGATCCGCAATCGCATTAGGGTTGAGTTCCGCTGGAAGTTTAGGCGTTATATTACCAGGATGATTGAGTAAATTCGTCTTAACTGCACCAGGGCTGATACACTGT